GCTCCCCTCCCATTGAGGGAAACCCGGGTTCGAATCAGAACAATGGCCGGTGGACACGAATTCCGCAACCGAATCACACCCACCAGAGTGTTAGCGTAAAATATCCTCAGTGGTAAACGGATCATGGGTTAAAGTCTCCTTGCAGTCAGGCTAACCGTGAAAGGTTATTGTGGTTTTCCTCCCCATGTGTAGCAAATGCGGGTTAGTTCCATCAAAAAGATCCCCACTTAAACAAATTTCTCCCGATACTTGATCCAGGAATTCGTTCATCTTCTGGTTCAAAATCAAAAGGCTACGAAGTTGAACATTGGTAGCCGTAAACTCAAAATTTGATAGGTTATTCAACGACGGTTATAAAATAAAATATGGGTCCTATATATAGAGCCCTTATAACGGCCCTCTGAACCCTTATTGAGCCAAGATTCGTGACTATGGGTCCAGTGAGGGGCCCAAGTTATTTTGCAGCTGGGCCTCTTATCTGTCATAGAGCTTCGAGGTCAACTATCAATTCAATTTTATTACTATTAAAATTTTATTTTATCTTCTTTAAAATCTCATTCATGAAAATTCGGAAAATTAAAAAAAAAATTTCAACAAAATCATGTGAGGAACATTAATTTATTCTGCTTCAACTTTCAAATAATATAAATTGTAGAATATTTTAGTATTAAGAAAGTAGTGGTATTATTTATATAAAATTTCACACTTTGACTCGAGCCAGTGTTATTATACGTGGTAAACAGAGAAAATGTGTGAATAGATTGATCATTTATAATTCTAAAAACATATTTTAAAAGCAAATTTTCCTTTCAGCATTCAAATTAAGTATTCGTGTTATTAAGCATTCATCAAACAAGCAAATAGAAATTTGCATAGAAATAGTATTAAAAACATTTACGAGGAAAAAAAAATATTCTTATTCAACATTTAAAACAAATTGAAATGGAGGAAAAAAAGTATGACCAACAATTAAATCATTGTTCAAGTCAAGTTCAAATTTAACAGTGAATGTCGAAACTACCTTATACAATTAAATAGCTACTAAATAAAAATTTTAAAACTTATCCAATTAAGAACGAACCTAGGGAATTTCATTCGCTGTGGCAAATTAATAATGCATATTACTCATTCGGAATTAGAATTTAAAAAAAAAAAAAAACCAAAACTTAATGAGGTATCAAAAAAAACTAAATATGCCTAAAATTTTATATTCCTTAATAAACTAATTTTAGTTTTATAAAAAGCTGAATAGATTAGTTTGAATGGTCAATTTATATTTAAAACAAAGTACAAGATAAAATGAATAACATTGAAAGATGAGATTGCGTCTATGAGTGCGGAAGTCATAGAAAAAAAACCTCAAGAGCAAACCTCACTGTCTAGTAACCTTGAGTAACCCCACTTCTGAAATCAAATGTGGGGGTTCAGCTATAGACAAAGATTTTCAGCTCTGGTGTTGACAGCTGTATTAAGATCACCTTTTTTTTAGAGCTGTATTGAGATCTCGGTTGTCAGTGTGGTCGCTCTGGAATTGCAATTACAAATCGAGTGTGTACTGGTCCCTGTTGTGTTTGATCGACACTGAGTACCAAGAGCGTGTGGAGGACAATGTCGCGTTTACAAATAGCGAATCAACTGTTCACTGTGCTCCATCCATCAAACTAGGCATCTCGACTATGTCAAACGTCATCTATCAAAAGGTACTTCCAGATAGAATTGCGTTAACAAGTCTTATAAACTAGTGATAGTGAATCGGAATTGAATAATTGTAGTGGAAGCACGCTAACCCAGAAGTTTTACGACGAATTTAAAGCCCTAGCACCATTGGTGCTTAGCGTCACACGGTCATTCATCCATATTTTCTAAAATGTCCTCGGTGCTTGCTTTAAGAACAAATAATGCAGTTCTGAATTCCATAATAGTTTCCAAACTAAGAATATGCGTCTTTCGTACTAACGTTCGAAAGAATTAACTAATCCCTTCTTCTATGACTTGTCCCGCAGTGGACTGATCGTAAAAATACGGCTCCCAGTACAACAAAAAATACGGTTCCCAGTACAAGTCAAGCCAAAGAATATATAAGAGAGAAGAAGTTTAGCTTCTCCGATACGTAGCAGGGGCCAGCAAGGTCTCTCTGTATGACAATAAAAGCGCCAAAGTTTTTTGAGCCGACGCATGCGCACATCTTTCTTCCATCATAGAGTCTCTAAACTTGTTTAACAGCAAATTTTTCGCCATCTTTAAAGTGACTGTTTAAGGTGACATCTTTAAGTGACCGCAGGGCCGGATTAACCTATAGGCACACTAGGCACGTGCCTAGGGCCTACGAAAAACTTGGGAGGAAAAAAATTTGTTGACAAAAATAATTTAGCTTTAAAAACAACAAGTGTATTTTGCACAAAATTATGAAGATACATATAAAAATATAATATTTTTCGGTAATATATTATTTTGCAGAATCTTATGATCTAATATATTACTTTGTTGCGATTTTTGGATTCAACGAAATCCTGTATTATGCTGTCGAATTCCAAACTACGCAAAATGTCGTATTCAATAGACATAAGTGCGAGCGATGCCAAACGATCTTGATTCATTGTTGAACGCAAATAATTTTTTATCAATTTTAATCTGGAGAAAGATCTTTCTCCTTCTGCATTTGATCCAAGAATCGACAAATATATTCTTAATGCAATGTGAACGTTAGGAAAAGTATTTACAAGTTTATCTTTAATTTGAGCCTTCAACATTTCTTGCGCAGATTTATGTTCATACAAATTTTAAAATAGTAAAAATTCATCTACAAAGTTTTCCTCTAAATCGGATGAGTAAATTTTCACAAAATTTTGCGCTTTTAGTTTAATTTCAGATTCTGACAAATTTTTGTGAACAAGAAAACCGAAATTATCGTACTGTAAGTGTAAGCTTTACGCCTTGTAGTCATTTCTGAAATTAATACATCTAAAATGGCGTAAATATTTCTTGTAATTTATCTCACTATCAATTTCACTGTTTTCTTTGCTGGTTTGTTGTTGTATTGTTGACGTGAAGTGTTTACATAGTTATCGATCGAACTACTCATAATTGTACTATCGATATCAACTGCAATATCGGCAGTATGTCGGTATTGCAGATAAAGTTCGATAAACAAATTTGTAAATTAAAATCCATATTAATAAAAATGTTTAAAAAAAATATGCAAGAAAATTTTAGCATATATTTTGAAAAGAGGGGAGGAGTGGGTGAAGGAGGGGAGGGCCCAAAAGCGGCTATGCCTAGGGCCTACGAAAGGTATAATCCGGCTCTGAGTGACCGATATCTATTTAAATTATACACCTATGCTAAAATAATAAATTATATTTACTTTTTAATGAATTCGTCACAAGTAAATATTTTCCTTGTTTAATAAGTAAACCTTTTCCATAACCATACAAAAGAACAAAAGCAGACTGGGTTTGAGCCACTTTTCATTAGCTGTTTACATGAGTGGGGGGAGACAAGGAGAAAGGTGTTTGTTGGGAGCTCAGAGGAATGGGGCTGCTTACGGGGTAAGGATGGAGGGACCTTCTGTTAGGAGGCAGGTTGTTTTCCTAGCAATACTTCCTCACCTAGATGGAGGCAACCGTCGCCTCCGGAACAGGTTTACATGGGGCCTATGAGAGCTGGTCTTCTTCTCACTTATATATTCTTTGGTCAAGCATCACTGACTGCGGTCAATAAGCGAGTTGGTGACAACTTTGATTATCCTACATAGGAACGGAGTGTGTCGGCAGTATTGGTCATCGTTAAACTGTTCCACCATAAAGTGCTTGACTTCGCGTACAGGTCGTCTGGCTCCCGAAGCAGGGATGTCATCCCCTCCGCAGATGATCAAAATTGCGATTGCATGTCTTCGGATCATCCTCAAGGATGTCTCCTAGACCGTCGCCAATAGCCCATTGTGAAGTTCTGGTACGACGTAAATTAGGTATCTACCTACCTTTCCTATAACTCTCCATACGGCACGGTGAAAGCATGTGACTGCTTTCTTGACTGCTGTCGGGTCGGTAACCTCGTCATACTGTGGTAGCAACACTTACTGATAGAAATAAGAATCGCTGCAGGAACTACTACTTACACTTCAGTCGGGGATTCCCCGTAACTTTGGCACCACAATTGAGGCATTTTGTGTATGTATTTTGTTTGCAAGCATCACTGGCTACGGTCAGTGTGTGGGTGACCACTTGGATCAGTCTGTGTAGGGACCGAGGGTGTGCGGTATTGGTCCTCGTTAAACTGTTCTACCGTAAAGTGCCCGACTTCACGTGTAGGTCGTCGGGCTACCGAAGTGGGGGTGCCATCCCCTCTGCAGAAGATCAAAATGGTGATGGCTTCTTCAGATCATCCTCAGGGATGTTTCCCAGACCATCGCTAATAGCCCATTGTGCAGCTGTAGTGCGACGTAAATGAACTACAACAACAACTATTTTGTTTGCCAAGCCTCGTAATATGTAAACACTCAAGTGAGCGAATTTACTGTGAGAAATAAAGAAGTAAATAAAAAAGTAGTCTCTTTTTTGCAGTTTTAAATAATAATATTACATTAAATATTTTGTTGTTGTTGTTAATTTACGTCGCGCAGATCTGCACAATGGGCTATTGGCGACGGTCTGGGAAACATCCCGGAGGATGATCCGAAGACATGCCATCACAATTTTGATCCTCTGCGGAAGGGATGGCATGCCCCGCTTCGGTAGCCCGATGACCTGCGCGCGAAGTCGAACTTTTTTACGGTAGCACAGTTTAACGAGGACCAATACCGCACACCCTCGGTCCCTACGCAGGCTGATCAAAGTGGTCACCCACCCGCACACTGACCGCAGCCAGTGATGCTTGACTTCAGTGATCTGCTGGGAACCGTGTCTTAACGATCAGTCCACTGCGGGACCATTAAATATTTTAAACCGCTACACTGCTAACAAAGTATATAAAACTACAACTTTCATTACAATTAATACGTTGCAGAAAAACGACCGCGAGTACTTCGTGCATCCATTATCGTTCGTAAAAGAAATTACAATGCTGTATGAGATTCAGATAAAAATGGACTTAAAAGTTGGAACGGTTTTAAAAAAACACACGTTACTCATTTTGCGAACGTAGTTTCAGTTTCACTTTGCCTTTTCAATATTAAATATTCTATCTTGTGCTCCATTCTTAGAGAGCACTTTACTGAACACTTGTTTTCGAGTATAAGGGTGTAATGGTGATCGTTAACATTCACAATTGTTTCATTCTCCTTTAAGTATTACATATTGCTGTTTAATTGTTTGTTAAATATCGACTCCAGTATAAACATGCCTGGCAATAAAACTCAAGGATTTTTATGTACATGGAAGATTGAAAAATTTAATAGCATTCCAGACTATAAGGAGCTCAAGAGTCCTTCATTTCAAATTAAAAAATTTTGTCATAGTGAATGGAAATTAGTTCTAGATCCTAAAAAGTCAGTTAAATCCTCAGAGCGAGGTAAATTTAAACATTTTGTTTCGTGTTACCTTGAACTAAGCAGAAGTTCTAATATTGTTGAAGAAATTCCCGTTAGCTTTCGATTCCATTTGTTATGTCCCAAAGGCAATGTTTTTAAAACGTCTAAGTTATTCACTGAAAAAAAATCTTTGTTCAAATATCCCACATCTTATTATGAACTAATTGCAGTTGATACTTTGAAGCAAGAAATGTCAAATTGGCCAGAAGATACATTAACTCTATGCTGCCTCATGGAAAGTGTTCTAGATTATGATTCGTTGTCGCCGACAACAAGTAAAACTGCTATTACTGGATGTAAACTTGAAACAAATGTTTGTGAGTATGATTCCTCATTTATATGGTCGTTAAAAGAATCCAAAAGTTTCAAAAAATATCCGTTGAATATTAAAGAAATAAAGCTTGGAGACATTACAGTGAAAGTGATTATTAAACAGAGATCTGGGATTTATAAGTTTTATCTTTTCAGTGATATCAATGATGAAAGGCACCATACTTTATCTTGGTGTGCATACCTTATGAAAGAAAAACAAATAGAAAAGATGATATCGTTTGGTTTACGTTATTTTGGTGACCAACAAAATGTTTACGATACTGGTGCTGAAATTGATATGAATATCTTACAAATTGATATTGAAGTAAAATTTGATATATCTTGTCTTGCTTCCTCTTTGGTAAATTACTGTTATGCAGATGAAAAGTATGATATTGAAACTCAATCTATGTCACTGGAGTTATTCAAAAGCGGAAGGACTTCAGAGGAGGAGAGTGTTTATTGTTTACAGCAAAACTTCAGTAAGTTGCTTGTGGATAAAGAATTTACTGATGTGCAGTTTCGAGTGGATAATGAGATGATGACCGGCCACAAAAATATATTAGCCTGTAGATCACCAGTGTTCGCCGCCATGTTTGATCAACAAATGACAGAAAATAATACAGGTATTGTAGATATTGTTGATGTAGAAGCAAAAACCTTTTCTTCCTTTTTAGAATATATTTATACAGGGTCAGTTGAAAAGATGGATGAAGAATTGGCTTTAAACTTGTTGGTTGTGGCTGATAAGTATGATGTACCATCACTGGCTAAGAAATGTTCTTTGCTTTTGATGTCTGTTTTATCGAATAGAAACTTATGCAAAGTATTATTGATTGCCGATATGGTTCATCAAAAAGAACTTAAATCATTTGTGGTAGAATTCATCTTAAAAAATTCTACCAGTATTTTATCTTCTCCTGAATGGTTGCAAATAGTTCTGAAGAATAATGCTTTGGCTACAGAGTTACTGCTTTTAATATCAAAAAAATTGGATGAAAAGAGTAAAATGAGTGAGGTCAGTCACAGTTAATTTCTAATGATTATTACATTTCATAAAATGATGGTAGTAAATAATATTTTGATTTGAGGATTGCTAATGAAAATGACTGTAATCGCATTCATAAAATATTACATTGATTAATTTGAGTTGATATTAATCATAAAAATTACATGGCTTGAATTGAGGTGACTAGATTTGGATTTTGTCTGAACTAAAGTGCTGCCAAACCTGAAGATTTTTTTTTCCTCTACGATTTCTATTTAAGTTTTAAGAACACATTTGATATTTTACCAAGTTTTATGTGAATGAATTTAATATTTCTTGCCTTAAAATAGCCATATTGAAAAAAACCTTAAATAGAAATTAAATAACCTTTTTAATCTTCCGCAATGTGTCAGGAAAGAGTTTTAAGCAATTTAAGAGAGTTATTATTAGTTTTAACTATAATCAATAATAATGATTATAATTTTTTTTTTTTAAATTTTGAGCAATAAACAAAAAGTAAAAATTAACACAAGTCATTTCCGCAGACGAGGCACAAGGGGTTTGGCCATTCAGGCCATAATTTTGCTAGCAGTTGCATCGTGAAAAAGCCAAGAAATTTTTAAGGGAATTGGTTGCAAGAATGTCCTTAATTTAATTAACTGTCATTCAAATGGGGAAAATTTAGAGATTTTGATTTGTTCCAAAGTCCAAAGATGACGCCATTCTAACAATAAGGAATTTATGGACTTTTCTTAATGCACATTTTTCTAAGAATTATTATTGCCCATTAACTTAAAATAATCTTTTAATTGGCATCTTGACTTTTTGTGGCTCTTTGTGAGAGAACGATTTCTACGTCTTAAGATTAAAAGAGAAATTTATTTTAAGCTTATGTATGAAGTCATTTTATTAATGTTAAAAGTCAGAAATACTATTCAAGCAGAAAACGAAAAGTTTAAAAAATAAGATATATGTGTTAGCAAGACAACATTTCTTCATGGGACTTTCTGTTGTTAGTGGTAATACTGACAGTGCCCCGAGCTCCCATAATGGACAAACAAATAATAAGAAAAAGCAAAATTAAAAAGTAAATGCAAATAAAAATTAATGACAAACAAACACAATTTGAAAGTACACAGAGTAAGACCTAATAATGGTACGCCCACATATAAGAGATATAAATAAAGAAAAAATTACAGTTAGAATAACCAAATCAAAATAAATTACCAAATCATTAAGAAAACTTTAGAAATAAATCAAGTGCTGAATCCTATTGAAAATCTTGAAAATAAAACAAAAAAACATTCAAAGAGTCGAATTTCTAAAAAAAAGTGCTATCATCTATATGCTTCAGGAACAAAAAATCTTAATTTTCATGGCATAGACCTCTTATGCGGGCTTCGATATTGGCCAAATTATTTTTACGTCCTTAAAAATTTTTTATTAAAATATCATAATTATAGTAATTAGAAGGAAAATTATTATTCTCTAATGCAGGGGTCGCCAAACTTTTTTGATCATCGACCCCTATATAATTTTTCGAAATCTCCATCGACCCCCACAAAAGTAATTTTCTGCTAATTAAAATAAAGCTCTATTAGATACTGTGTTTGTACATTTATTTTATGATTTTAAACATTTATTAAAGTAATAGTACATTGTGTAACAATAGTTTTACGAAAAATATATTAATATTGAAATTTAAATACCTTATTATTAAATAATAAGTAATTATGCGTAAGTAGATATAATAAGTAAAGTAACTAAAGATTTACTGCTTCTGGATCAATAAGATGGGTGTGCCTGGTGCTTTTTTGCAAGGTTCGCTATATTGGGTTCAAAATTGGTCAATTTTAATTTTCGTCAAAATTGGTCAATTTTGTAATTTTCGTAA